TTTAGTGTTAAATACTTTCTTAGTCAACATTTTGTTTCAATCAGCAAAACGTTTTCTATGTTAGTAGCAGATGAGCCATACGATTTGTGCAACTAATAACGAAATAAGTAGATGGCAATATCTTACATGTAAAATATTTCCATTAAGACAGATTATTGAAAGATAAATTGTTACTAATATAGTGAAATAAGTCGGTCGCAGCACTACCAAATGACGGTTTCAAAATGTATGTACCATCCAGTAATGTATATTCAAAGATTGGAATTTTATTGAAAAACTAAAATGTTGTCTTAGCAACACGGTTTTCTAAAGTTAGGGTGAACCACACAATTGCTTTGGTACACCGGAAGAAGCATATTCAGTTGTTTAACAATCACGATAAGTGAATTTCCGCCCCTTACCCCGAAAAATTGTCGAAACTACAAAAGTAAATCACTGGCTTGATAAACCGAAGTACATATGATCGCGGTGAAAATGCAGTAAGGTAAGAAACTTAGCAGGATTTATTTCTGTTTTTCATGTAAATGCATTTTAAGATGCGGTCAGTGGATGAGGTACAAACGCAGTTACATCAGGCGGAATATGCAGGGGTACAAGGTTGGTAAGCTGTCATCAGGTTTAGTGAGCTTAATTCAGTGTGCTGGGTTTGAGTCCCACATTCCGTGTGTACCGCAAAACCCCAAGTCAGACGACTAAACGTAGCAGCAAAAGCAGAAGTCAACGCTGATCTCACACGCTGCTGTCTTAAAGGTTCTACACTAGTCAAACAGCTTTGGTGTGATTACCTTATTGTCATGAGAAAGTACTATTCATTCATGGAAAACGGCAAACGAAGCCCTGGAACTTGAAGGGACGACCGGCATAAGGTCCCGTTAGGTTGGGCTAAATTGTGAGTTAGTCGACAGGACATGATATGTTACATCGACCTAAATAGGGAAGAGCCAGCTCAAGCGACAGTTAGCTAACCCTTCATAAACATGTACGAACAGAGACAATAGTGTACTATTTTGCTTCGCATTCCTACAGCTAAATACCACAGGTTTACAACCGGGCCACTGATAGGATTCGGCGAAAAAACCCAGTTGGTGAATGTAGAACACGTGCAGAAGTAAGCAAGCCTGAAAATGAGTACAGATGCGGAGCAAAAATATGAGAAATTGACAGCGGACAAATGCTAATCGTTCCGGTGCAACAAACCAACTGATGGTTTGATTGAAAATAATACATGTTTCAGTAACTGAAGAAGGCTAGCGCATCCTAGGAAAGTAAGAACTGATTACAGCGAGACAGAGCACAAGATGAAAATTTCCAAGAAGATAAAAAAGCTTTCTTTTATTATCACTTTTTCTGTGCAACCTGAAATACTGAGTTAATTATAAGAGATAAGGATGAGTAGGGCGTTGAGTCTAAAACGGAAATCGTCTCAAACAGCAGTGAGTAAACAGACTCCAGGATAAAAGGATGAAAGAACGCTTAGGGTTGAAATTGGTCAATCGGTTGTGAAAAACGTGTTTGATGACAAGTATGCTAAAAATGGAATATTATGGCCAGCGTGATCCAGGATCAGTGCCAGGGAGAATGACCAGTATGATTGATGATTGAAAGCATGTTTCGTTACGGGTTATGTTCATCGATGAAGCTTTTGACTTCTTAAGAAAGGATTTTGAAACAAATTAGTCGAAATAATAGCGAATATACCAATTTCCCCAGATATTTGTTACCTTGTGAAACGTACGAAGTATTCAGCCAAGTGCTGACGCTTCAGTTGGACAATAAAGACGTTTTCTGTTGGCCTATATGAATCACAATTTTAACTAAGATCAGTTGGCTGTTGATGAAACCCGAGTTGGTCTTTCAATAGAGATCATAATCTAACTGAAGCTCTAAGCAAACAAATGTAGGTCACCGGAGAACGTTACACAAAAACATCGTTCTGGATAAGTGGGTCTTGGAAATGTTATTTCGGATTTCATCACGTGACATTTCAATGCATTCTCATTATGCAGTACCTTAATTAGAAAATCATAATAAAATCAATCGTTATTTTTTTGACAGAACGAAGTGTTGAAACATAGGCCGTTGCAACGAAAGGCATCAATGCCATTGTATCTTGTACTATCGGTAATCTCGAGTAAGTTGAATTTGAGGCAAATTGCAAACATAATAGTTAGAACATGCAAATTTCATGCCCAAAAACAATTTCCGTGGAAAGTTGCAGTTTAATATGTGGAAAGTACGACAGAATACGCTCAATTCTGCGGGCAGTAGAATGCAGTCTCGAACAATCTCGTCTTCAGTGATAGTCTACCAATACATCATTATCAATATTTCAATCTATTGTTCTGAATATATATCAACAGAAAAATTAAACTTGCTTTTGTGAAAGAAACATTGAAAATTATAGATTATCCAGCGATAATTTTATCATGGGACCGGACAACAGATTCGCATTGATCGCACACTTGTTGGTTAGCTCATCCGATTGTAAAACTACTGGGAATAAGAAGGTGGGTGAGCGATAGGTGTTTAATAGACTACATGAAATCTTTTCGGGCATACATGAGGAGAATGGTGCAGTCGAATTCCTACCGCTCCACTGTGGCAAGCATGTGAGAGTGAACTGCCAGGGATAGTCGACCGTAAGTCCCTAACAGGGGTCAGAATGCGTCGGCCACATTCACATTGAGTTGTTTCACCTGGATGTGGGACCAGAGCTGTGGTGAGTGACCTAGTCGTTCCTGTATTTAGCTTCTTTATCAATCTGTGTTCTATTTGTTTTGTACTCCAAAGAGCTGTCTATAAACAATTGAAGCCAATAACAACTCAGAATAAAAACAAGGATTAATCGTAGAAACCAGTAAATTAGAAATAGTCAATGTTTGTAAAGTAAAACGCTAAATGGACTTACAATACATAGCCTTGGGGAATTCGGAACCCCAAGGTTGCTGCATCAGCCAATGAAAGGAATGTCATCATGATATAAGTGGGTGCGGTAAAGGTTGGCTGCACAAATACTAGAAAATTGATCACGTTGAGTACAAATCCCACGGCACAAATAGCTGTTTGGACAAATACATAACCACAGGCTATGATGTAGCTGTAGTCCACATCATTGTCATCGGACTGGCCCCAGGAAATCTTTCCGGTGGTCTGATTCATCCGGAAAACGTGGTTCGATGCTCCGTAATTGTGGATGATGGACACTGATTTATCAGCTACAAAGCCGAAAACATAAAACGAGAAATAGGGAATTGTTAGTCTTGCTTTTAATGTATTCTTGAGTTTCGAATTTGGAGAAAAGATTTATTTTGGAAACATGGTACTTACACTAACGCATTTTAATTTAACTGTAACGACTGTGCTCCAAAACGTTTCTCAATGTCGCTTGCCGTTAGTTTCCTTCCAAAATGGGGAACCCCTGCTCTAGGTTCAGAGAGTCATTGGGCTCACAGAAAAGGTTTTCGTGGACGTTTTCATTGTATCCCGACGCATTCACATACCAGTCGTTTGAAGCTACAACAGCAACTTGAAAGTATACTTTTATAAAATAATTCAACTCTAACCTGTGAATATCATTTGAAAGAAGATTAGATTTCCTTTTCAACAAACTAATTCCGAAATTAACCCTAAATTTTAAATTGATATTCGGGAGACAACGACGTATTTTAATTGTTTCCCATCTGAACCGAGTGAGATGGCAAAACAGTCCTTTGAAAATGACACTCTCGGTAGTGTGCAAAAACTAAAATGTACCAACTATAAATAAACTCCTAGAGAACTCGCTGTTAGCTTAACAAACCAAAGGGAAATGTTTATTTTAAATCAAAACGCTATTCCGTAATTAAAATGAATTCTACTTTCTTCAGCCAGGCAAGAAATTTAATAAACCTGGAGATCTGTTGGTAGCCTCAACCAATGTCTAAACAAATAAGGATATACATCTTTTCGGTCAGGTGTAAGACAAAATATTGTAGTTTCATTAAGTTAAACACAATCTTAGTCTGGAATATGTGTATCATATCCAAATAACATGATTGGTGCGGAGTAATATGTATTTATTACCGCAACCATAACAAATGTTTTATCGGATTCCAACCAGGCAGTGTATTGCCGTCATGGGACTGGTGGTTAAATGCCAATTCATTTCATGCATTTGGCTCAACCCAATTCGTGATCAACGAATGCTTTCAATGAAAACTGATGTGTCCAGCAATTTGCAGTTAGCATTAATGTGCCTCATTAAGGCGCCTACTAACTCAAGCTGCGATAATATAACATTATTCGGTTGTATTTTTGATTCTACTCCATCTATTTATAAATTAGTTATGCACTTAATTATGTCTAATATATTAATTCACCAAAAAGTGATCCACTTTATGTTGCTAAATTTTAAATGTTGTTCATTCATGCATCGCAAATGAACGTATCAATCTGTTGCAAGCGGTTAACTCCTGCTGACAAGTCAAATCTGTTACTTTCCCAGAAATTTACGCTCGACCCGGTCTGTGAGCAGGTCAGCGGGGAATCAATCAGTCAAGCGTGAAATTCATTCGCTTTCATTTGACAAAACTGAAAAAAACGTTGTATTCTTATTTCATCAATCAATGAGGAAGTTCCCATGTTTGTGGATCCAGAGAGAGAGAGAGAGATAGAGCGAGAGCGGATGAATGCTTGATGGATTCCATCAGACGAAGTTCGCTTATGTTCTAGTTCGTTTCCGGTGTCAATCGGGGAACGCTGTGTGAGAACGTGTTTAGATACATTAACCCCATTGACGAGCTATCCAGGGTGAGTCGTTCTGGTTGAAATGAGTCGTAAACTTCTAGGATACTGTGCGGAGTAAATTCACAGTTTGTAGGAATATGGTATCAGACAGGCAAAATATATTTGCAGCAGGCATGCTGATTGTACAAACATCACATTTATGGACTGTTTCCTACCAAAACAGATTATGTTTTTGGAATTGATACCAAGAGCTTTTTAAGAGACAGAAAAAATAGCAGTAGAGAGCAAAACAACGCTTCAAAGATTAGTTGGCAAGATCTGTTCCAAAAGGAGATTTATAGTTTATCTGTTACATCTCTAACGAAAAAACTGCTTGGTTCAGCAAATCAAACAATTGTTGTATAATGAAGTGTATTTTGGAAAACTACAGAGGCAATTGGAACGTTTAAGCAAGAACACACCTTTCCACAAATGTGCATGCATTTACAACGAATTTTTATAAAAAACGGAATATTTCAATATGAACTGAACTAATTGAATAAATTTAAACGCATATGTCTGGAGGAAGGTTGTTTTTAGGGAAAAAATTGAATAAAGTACTTAAATTCCTATTTCGAATACAGTTCACAAATGCAAAATACTAGATACCATTTGAAAATCCACAACTGCAGAATTCATTGCTTCATTAGTGCTACACTTGTTTCTTTATGTTCAATCTAAGACTACCCCTACCAGTGAACTAGAGTGAGGTGTGAATTGTGTGAAGCCAGTACAGTGTCAACAAACATCGAATGTTTTGTCATCACGTATGGACCATGAAGAACAGACATAGTGTAGCGCAATTGTGATGAACTAGTGGACAAAGGGGAACAGGCATTTGTGGGTATTCCTGGTGAAGAAAGAGAAACGTACTCGGTGCAAAACTACGGCTTTTGAAAAAGGAATGGCTGTTCATTATTTTGAATTTGCTGATCGTCTCATTAGGGCGAAGTGAAATTTAGAATATGTTTCAATTTCGATTTCTTCTAATTGCTTAAAGATGCTCAAAATTTCCTATCCATCTGTTCAGACGACTTCAGGTCTTTATTTTGTGGGTAACATCGCACTCGTCATTTTGCAAATCAATCTCTTACTTTCCCATTAATTTCAAATTAGAATGACACGAATTTAATTTTATAATCTAATGAATATACTGAGAGAGGACCAGGGCAATAGTTGTTTGGAATATTTTCAAGCGCGACGCTCATTGATGCCATACAAGAACAGTAATGCAGTTCCTTATGCTAGATTTTTTTATTCGACTCCGGTTTGTGTTTGAAGAATATTGTGAAGGCCTCTTCATCACCAATAAAAGTATATTTCATTGTGACTTACTCGATTAGTCAAAATCCAGCCATTTGAATGCACATGTAGAATAAATTAAAAAGATATTTATGTCCAATTTGGTCGAAACGTTAACTGCCAAATCTTGTGTTTTATTTTCTAAATGGGTGACGGTTCCGCGGGATCGAATGCGCCGGAGTAAGTTATTTTCGGTCTATGACGTATATTCAATTGATAGAATCAGTTAGTTCACCATAGTCGACGCTGATTGGTGGAGCGAGACCCTGTGATGACCAATCCAAATGAAGTATCGCAATATTGACCTTATGGGAGAAATTTCTGATGAAACTATAACAAAAACAACAAAAACAACAGCAACACCAGCAACAAAACCGACAGCATTTTTGTTCTTTTCACTCGGAATATCCTTGGTTTTTTCCTTCTTTTACAGTTGTTCAAACGTTGCTCATAATATCTGGGAGATTTTTATTTGGTGATGCATTAAAAAACAAGGTCTGTTCCTGAGTATTTTCATTGAGTAACTAGAGGTGCAACTGAGCATGGAATCTTTAAATCCCTTGGTTTTTTCGGATATTCTTACAGAGGTGAATCTTGATCATGCCAAAAAATCCCCAAAAAATGTTACCAGGTCAAAACATTTTGAGATTAAAGGAGAACGTTTTCAAGAGATATCAAAGGCAATCCACAACTAAACGGAAAACTTCATGGAAATAAACTAAAGTATGCATTGAAGGTCACGGAACAGTTTCTAAAATCAGCTTTCGGAATAATTTCTATGAGTAACCCCTCAGTTGATATATGTGAAAGATTGTGAAATGTTATTCAACAAATATTATGTGACCTGGATTCGCTGGGAAAGGAGTAGTAAACCACAGCCAGAGCGGCATACTTTGAAGAACACCCACACTGGTAATAACAGCGGAAAACCGACATATAGGTAATTGTTTGAGTGTTGAATGACCCGTTGAGCGATCAATATGGGTTACGTGCGATCAACGAAAGCGATGGATTTTATGCCCACTACGATCCGCTACTGTTTAGGAGAGGATGCGTCTGGTTGCGCAATTTCGAACCAAAGTATTTAGGTGCCATTTAATTTTAGTAGCGTGTAGATGGATTAAAAATTGTTAGAAGAAGGAAGGTTTGCTCAATATTAATTTTTTGCAAACCGATCCGATGTGTGTAAAACATTAGGTTAACAACTACAACAAATTAGAGGAGGGTTTGTACAAAATATTGTAAGAAGCCTCAACAGCAGCCTCAGATTGTCAAGATCAAGAACCTTTGATCACGGAGAACTAACTCACATAATACTGTGCCTAATGCTAAATTATCTCTGAAAAAGACCTTTTTTGTCAAAAGCACAAATCTTAGGTGCCAGGTTTAGGTATTTGTAAAGCCCATTGATCTTCTCCAACTCCCTTTTGGTATATAAGATTCTCCCACCGAAAAATATTTGGAAATATTGTTATGTATTGCCCAAAATCAATGTATTCAACAAACTCATTCTGGTCATTTATCGGCTATTTGATGAATCACAGTATGTATAGTGTTTTTTTCGTTAAATAAATGCTCTCTTTGTATTGTGAAACCGGCAACTCAATCTTTTGTCCAAAGTGGGTTTTGTATAGTTTGTAGGACAACCTTGACGTTTTGTTACCTGTGCAACGAATCGGATTCGTTTTGTGTTGCATGCATTCTCAACCATGATTGTTTTTATATCAACTGGTCGACTTCTTCTGCTGCTAAAAATTGCTCCCGGGAGGATCATCGAAGCCACGGGATGGAAACACAACACAATAGCATCACCATTGAACCTCCATGAAAAATCTGGGAGATGAAAATGTTTCAGTAATTCCGTCGAACTCAGAGATTATTGTCCACAAAAGGAGGACATCCTCCATCTAGTCCTAATCAGCAATAAATGTCAGTAAAATATTCGAGAATCACTATTCATATCACGTCCAAATTCTTGATCAGAATGGCGCTAACGCTATTGTGTGACTGCCTCCGTGCTTTGAAGCGATCGCTCCGATTTCACTCAAGTATGAATTTCATTTTGGTGCTAATAAACTGTATTTTAAACAGAC